GAACGCCAGACTGGTTACAATCATTACAAGTAAACTTGTTAAGCGGTCAGCATAGGGTGCCTACATGTTTCCGCTCCTTAGGGTGGCGCCAACTTCTTGTTACCCTTTCCCAGATCCTCTCCCACCGCCATTTTGACCCACTTCTTATTTCGCTAAACGTACACAACGTTGAGTTTTCGTAGTTTCGACACACCGGCAACACTGTGAGGCCACTTCCGTTTCCGTTCATAAGAGGAGTCGGACGAGTCGGAGGCTCAGCGGGATGGCGGTCGTCGTGGCTGTCGCTCTCTTTATTCGGGTGTTTCATACTTTGAAGTTGCGAGCAGGAAGTATGCGTTGCATTTATCTAAAAGTGAGTTCCCTCGACAAAATGGAACGCAACAGACCGGCATCGCACGCCGAAACCTCGCCGTCGGAACGAGAGCGGTGGGCGCTCCCTAGCCCTAACGAGGATTGGCGGAGTAGCGCGAGCGGACGACTGGCGAGTGTGACAAAATGGTCGACGAAACAGCGGAGGCTGCCATGGTAACGAGGTAGGCAACACTGGTTTGTCGGCAACAGGTATCACAAACGTTGTCGCCACCCTAAACAGAGGAGCGGCGGAAACATGTAGGCACCCTAGGTCAGCATATAATGGTCCGTTCGAAGGGTGTACTGCATGACCCTTAAGGTGCAGTTATATGCGCCATTTTATATTTTTATTTATCGTAATAAAATGTGCTTGCTTCAAAGAGATGCGTGGAAGGACTTTAAAAAACGCATTGTAATCTTATTTTTTATGATAACATATTTGATATGATCTCAACATTTAGTTTTATTTTATTTTGCTAAGGCTATTTGACGTTAATGAAGAGAGTACGAGCAGCTTTTGAGTTTAGCAGCAGTCTGTAGAGCAGGAAGGATATGCCTGGAGAGGGTCGTTTCATGTTTTCACACAGGAGGAGATTACTAGCCGCGAATGCCAGAAGTCTAGTGCCCGCCGGAGATAGCCGCACATTCCTACGTAATATATACAAGTGTGTGATCACCACTGTACGCATCTGCACGTTAATGTGCAAACGTAATGAATAAACTCAAACGGTACGAAAGGCGGACAATATTCTCATAGCTTTCACTACATCCTGAAAACGCTAAAAATATATTATTTGCATTGTTCGAGGTGTTCCTTTATGCTTTCACGTCAAACATAATTAAGGGCGTTCAGGTTTGAACTTAGTATTCATGTACTGATACTGATAAACGTTTTGAATCAGTAGTAATGGCGCAAACGAGCTGATTAAAAAAAAAACAGAAAAGGATTAACAAGAATTTGTGAGGTCGTTTTTCTGCTGTCTCTTATATTACCCCAATCTCGGTGGTCTTCGGTATTACAAGAAATGACGTATTACTGTATTGGCCTCCAGCAGAAATAGGTATCCGTAATTATTTATCTCCCAAAACAGAATTGGCAACAAAGTTCCCCTAGAAATATTTTACCTTTATTTGGTTTGATATCCATCTTCGTTCATAACATATGTGTCAAATTTCCCATCGTAAATAAAGAGCAGCAGAGTAAGCTAATCTCACTGTACCCATTAATTGAAATGTATGCTGCACCACCCATTCCAATGAATTTACATCGCTTGGGAATACTCGGAAAGTGCAATTGATTGTTTTCCGTATGTAAAGTGTTCAAAAGTAACAAATTAAACGACGCTATATCTTAGTTGTGTCTTCATTACTTCACCCCTACGTTACGATATTTTTATTGCTATTTGCGTTGGAGACATTTAAAAGCATTGAATTAAATAATTCTTTTTTGGTCTCCTAAGATGTGCATGAACTACTTTTTTGTAGAGATAATAAGCGCGTCTGTGATTAGAGGCACGTCCAGAGAAAGGCCAGGAGCGTTATTTTAGTAGAATTCACGCAGATTCGCTAGGTAACTGTGTCCGACGATGCATTCGATGTTTTGTTTGCATAAGGGCTCCTTGTATTCTCCGAGGAGAGTTCGGTGTCAGCCCAATAAAAAATAAAAATAAAATAAAAAGCAGGCACGGCAGTATATGAGATTGGAGATACGAACTACGCCGTGACTCCTAGGCAATCTCAAATGCAACATTCTGCTTTTTTTTTTTTTTTTTTTTTACTGTGACCTACGCCATTTCAGAGAAGGACTATTGCCCGATGTGATGTGCTGCTTCGTGGTTACACCATCTCTGAACGACTGCCGAGAGTATCCCAAGAGTACGCTGCCGGAAACAAAAACAACAACAAAAAAATTAGTTTCTTTTTTTTTTTTTTTTTTATTTGGAGTAGGAACTTACTACGGCCCTCCAGAAATCTGAGCGGGCGAGTTCGGTCGTGAAAGGCCGGGGAACTGGAGACATGGGACCCATTCGACCGGACGAAGCCATAACGTTGAGTATGCATCCTTCTGGTCTCGTCCGTGTTTCATGTTAATGAGTATAAACGCTTACATTATACGAAGGCCTGATCAAGACGTCAATTAAAGGTATACCTTATAGCAACGACGCAGTGATCAGATGTCCAGAAGAGCTGTTCAAGTACACATAAGGGTATTTTTATTAACTGATTAGAGAGCTTATTGGTGAATGCTTATATGTTTTGCCCTGTCACTTTCGATATAAATTTATTTAAAAAAAGATTCCTATAAAACAATTGAATACGGCCGTGAAATTAACACGGTAATAAATACATCAGTGTCTAATTTTTCTCAGACTTTGCCGAGCGTCAGTCACAACAATGTACAGGTACAGTTCCTGTGTGTTACCAGTACTTGGCCCCCTAAAAAAGTTATTTGGCTGGATATATAATTTGATTAGTGAAGAAAGTGCAAGTGATTGAAACGTTTCGCTTATTCCCATTGCGCAGACAGGTGTTTAATCTACGCTTTTGAGTCCCTCAAATGCAACGTTGGATCGCAAAAATTTTATACAGAACCTCGACTTACGTATTTCGAGATCCCTTGAGAAAGCCCGGGTATTTGATAGGAAAGTGGAATTTTCGTCGTTGAGGCGTGTTAGCTACTCTATTTGGTTGCGAAGAAAGGAATTCGTTATTGTTTCACAGCTAAATATTTTATGGTTAATAGCGGTCCCAAAATCGAGATTTTTAAAGAAAAACTAAAAATCTTCTCTCTGAAATGCAACAGGACTTGCGGTAATTTATAATACAATTTTAGCCGTCAAAGAAATGTGTTTTGTTTTGCTAAAGAAGCGTATTTCTATTTAACCTATCCATCTGCGACAGCTTTTTTGTAGTTGCTAGTTTTTTGGCAGGATCATCTTCGTCGCGAACGTAATCTGAATTATTTGAAACATTAAAATTTGGCGCTTTTAACCTTTTAAATCATCATGAACCAGCTAAATCTAACTAAAGTCTTAATTATGCGGATTCGCAATTTTTGAATCGGAATATGGTTTAAATATTCTTATAATACCTGTATCTTCTAATACCAGAATAGATGTGAGCAGAAGCGAAGATAATTTAAATTAAAAAAAAAGCATTTCACAATCAGTGAAATAAAAATAAAAAGAAACAAAAAGGCTAAATTCCATAGTACAAAAAATGCATTCTCAAAATCAATGGACAGTGGCCTCCAACATGGTTAAGGCGCTGGGTTTTAGAGCATTTTGAAAAATTGCAACTCGCCATGTTTGCATTTCTTGTTTCTTCTTTTAGCCAGTGTCGAAAGTTACAAAACCGCGCTTCTGAGAAACTGAAAAATGAGTGCAAAGCAAAACATTAAAGCAGCTTTAATTTAATTTAATCATTTTTTAGGACATATATCTTCAATATAAATTCTTAATAAAACATTCACTAAACAATTCAAACATTTATACAATACCTTCTGTGTAAACATTATTCACAGAAATATGATTGATCCAGAAAAGCTATAGACAAGAAAGACATCAGCCAAATTAAAAAAAAAAAATGTCCCGACATTTTGAAATCTATTGAGGTTATTCCTCATTTCCGCCTGCAAATACATAGAAGGAAACGTGCCTTTAGCACTGCTCAAACATGAAAACTCATACTTTGCGAGGAATTTAGAGGTAAACCTATTTTATTTTACATGTTAGTAAAATATTTCTGAATGGAGTGCTTAGTGTTTAACTTGGTATCTGAGATCATCGTTTATTTTTTTGTTGAACTGCTAGACACGTGAGAAGTACGCGGAATCGTTCTGTTCTAAATATTAAAGACTATGACCGAGCTAACGATGTAGACATAATCGATAATTTAAATACTGACTCCGAGGAAAGTGTTTCCGGCTTGTAGAAACATTTAAAGAAGCTATAAAATTTTCCATCGAGCCCTTTGTCCCTTCGAAGGAAGTACGTAATAAACTCGAAAGCCCCTGGATTAGCCGATACATTATTCAGGTTAAGCGTAAATAGAAGCGGCGTAGAAGGCAACATAGTGCTGCAACAGAGTATTTCGAGGAACTTATCAAAAGCTCGTGGCTATGGTAAATTTAGAAAGAAAAAAACACGTTAGTTTAATATCACGCTTCCTGAGTTTATTAAAAGCGACCCACAGACATTTTGGCATTAAAAGAATCAAATAAGAAAGTGTTAACAAAAATTAAAGTGGCTGAGAATTTTGAGACCGAGATTAAGTAAATACTGAAAATGTTTACCACTATTTCCAAAGTGTATTTAATCGAAGACGACAAAGGGACACCAGGCCAGCTTATAAATTCTTTAGAGATTCCCGTAATTTTAGTTGAAGGTGTCTTGTCCACGTTCAATTGAATTCAATTTTATTTTCCAAAACAGTGTTGGGGGTCCCCGGGCGAAAAAGCTGTCGTTGACAGCTTGAGAGTGCCTGGGGGCCTATACAGACTGCAACGTTTTGTGAAAAAGCACAACAAATATGACGCCTAAGATCATGAGTACACATAAACACCATGTGAATGTATACAATTATATATGGCACATGTCATACACTATATAAGGATTATTAACAGTTGATGGAATGATAAATGACATTGATCAAATTTTCCCAGATGGCTTATTTTGTAGGAAAAAGTACAATAGAGGTTTGAACACCAAAACTTCCGCATGCAAGATAGAGACTAATGTATTATCATTCATTGTCTCCGAAAAATTCTCGCATTTGTTACTAGTAAATGTATCAAAGCTAATATTTTGTTCTAGATACATGTTTAAAATAAAAGGTAAGTTATATGTCAGCGACTGCGAGAAGCATAAAGTGCACCGGCGCGGCACTAACCACCTGTCACAGTTGCGGGTGCGAGGGTCCCTTCTTTGTTTCGATATGTCAGGTGTCCTTTTTAAAAATGCTCTGAAACTTTCTTTTGACACGAATAAAAAATGCAATAAACAAAATGCATAAATATGTTTTACGCTTATTATACCATAATGTGTGTACAATTGTGCGGTTGTTTGTAAGCTTGGCACACTAGCACCATATCGAAGAGCTTCCTTTTGAAGAACAAGGATGGCGTGTATGTTTCCTGCTGTGGTCGTGCGCCATACGGGCGCGCAGTAATTTATGTGTGAAGTGAATAGGGCATGATAAATTTCAAGTTTCGCATTACATGGAAGGATGTGTTGATATCGTGACAAAGCTCCTGTCGCCGATCCTAAGGACTTATATAAATCTTCAATGTGATCTGTCCACGTCATATTGTCTGAAAATATAACTCCAAGCATTGTTCGTCTTTTAACTATTTCAATAGAAGTGTCACCGAGTAATAAATTGTGTGTTATTTGTGTCTGCTTATGTGTAGTTTTGGATAAAATAGCCTTCGATTTATATATATTTATTTTTGGACCGTTCTCGTTAGACCAGTGCCTGCTTGGAAAGTTCCCTTTCAGCTTTTAAAATTATTTCATTTGTATTCCATCCGGAAATAAACAGGCTCATGTTATCCGGATAGATAACATAGACTGCGTTACTATCCTGCTGAAGCACATAATTAATATACCATTGAAAAGGGACGGTCCTGAAACACTTCCTTGTGGAATACTGGCAGTAATTAATTTGGAAGATGAAATGTTATTACAGCTCGCCATGTTTTGCATTTGTTGTCTCTTCTTTTAAACAGTGTCGAAAGTTGCAAAATCGTGCTTTTTAGAAAGTAAAAAAAAATGACTGCAAAGCAAAACATAAAAGCACCTCAATCAAATTTCATCTTTTTTTTTTTTTTTGCTTAGGACGTATACACTCCGTGCAACGCGACTGGCGCGCCGCCGCGCGGCCGGTACCGAAGGTAGGCAGTGAGCACCCCAGAGAAAACGAAACCGAAACCACGCCGCGTACGTTGGTACGCGTTGAAGCCGGAGTGGTGCTGTTGCGCTTTTCAGCGCTGGGTTCACAGCTTAATGACGCAGCCTATGCTGCGTCATTAAGTGCTTCAATAGTTATGCGTCGTATCTCGTGGAGACAAAGTTTCACAGTTTTTCACCTCGCCGATGTTTTGTGGGACAGCGACAACGATGGAGCCGTGCCATACGACGCGAGAAATTTGATGTCCCGATCATGTCTGCCACTGTGTCGACACGGCTGACATATTCTACACTGCCGCTTTGCGCTCTGCGTTTGTTTTCGTACCAGTAACGCCTGCATGGGTCAGCGCCGATGGGACGAACTGAAATGCCATCCCACACTCGCGGGTATGCAGTGCCAATTTCGTTGGAGGAATGCCCTCCAAAGAAGTTTCGTCCCCATCGTACGAGTCGATGATAATTCCGGACAAATATGGCACGCAATCTGTACTTTATGAAGAAAGATTCGAAGGGTAAAAAAAGTGACAAATATAATTCTAAAGAAAACAACCATGAAACTCGGAATCACTGGAGAATCGGCGTTTGAGTATGGAAGTTTATGTGGTGTGCTTTCTTTCTTGATCAGCCTCCTTTTGGATGTGGAAACACTGACACCCCGAGTTCTGTAGACAACAATTTTTTTTCTCGGCTTTAGAGCCACCTATCGCAAAGTCGTTCGAACTGAAAGTACCGTCCACTGGTCCCTTCCTACCTGTAAAGTGTGCACCTCCCACGATGAGTGGTATTTTCTGACAGCCTTTGACGGTCAAAGCCAGTTCCCATTTAGTTACGCCGCCCAAACTAAATTTCCACCTGATTTCGCTATGCCAACTATTTTTTTATAATAAGTGTTGTGCCAAGTGACGGTCATGTCAAAGTACCTGCGGGCCGAAAATCAGCACCTCGCACAACAGGTTATTACACAACAGCTGACCGCAAAAGTCCTTGGCGGCCAAACCGTGTGTTGGCTGACAACTTTGTTTTCTCGGCTTTGGAACCACCTTTCGTAAAGTTGTTTCAATTGGAAGTAAAGTCCACTAGTCCTTTCCTACCTCTAAATTCTCCACCTCCCCCGACCAGTGGTATTCTCTTGACAGCCTTTTCATGGTCAAAACCGGTTCCCATTGAGTTACGCCGCCCAAACCAAATTTTCACCTGGTTTCCCTATGCCACCCTTTTTTTTTATAATAAGTGCTGTGTCATGTTACTGTCAAGTCCAAGCACCTGCGTGCCCAAATCTGCACTTTGCACAGCCCGCTATAACACAACATTTTGGGTCCAATATTGGATATACCGTACAGCTTTATTTCTTTATTCGTTAGAAACAACTTTCACACCTGCCGTCTTAATGAAACTTGGCACATTTCGTGCAGAAACTTAGTGTACATCTCACTCGCCTCCAATATCATCGTTCCAGAAGTCCTACGTTTACAGCGACGAGCGAAATAAATTTCCCACTCAAAGCAATTATGGTGGCGGCCGTCTTGCTTTTCATAAAATTGCTCCAACTCCTTTTTTGGCCGCAACTAGAGAAATTACCCCTAATAACAACTAAAACTCAATATATAAGAAGAGGAGAACAGCTAAATGCCCTTCTTAGGTCTGCCCCAGCATTCATGCAACGTCACCCTCAACGTATCGGCTCAAAAAGCAGAAGTTTCGTCCGTGCGCGCTTCCGCCGCCACAGCTTCGCACGCGGAAAGGCGCCGCAGGCTGCTGAACGCGCCTCACGGTCGAACGCCAGCTCCTCCGCTAGCGGCGCTGCGCGCGTTTTTCAAAGCGCCCCCTATAGTTCCCGCACGGAGTGTATATCTTCATTATAAATTCTATGAGTAAAACATTCGCTGAACAATTCAAACATCTACAAAATACCTTCTGTGTAAACATTATTCACTGTAATATGATTGATCCAGAAAAGCTATAGACAAAAAAGAACATCAGCCAAATAAAAAAAAAAAAAGTCCCGACATTTTGAAATCTATTTAGGTTATTCCTCAGAAATGACCAAATTGTATCCGTACCGGCGCAGCTGCAATCCTCTTACAATGGCAATCTTTTGCTGTGTGTCTTCCTCACGTAACGTTGGCCGCTGTCGTAAACAAAAGACAAGGCGTACGGGGACCTGTATATGTTCCCCGGCGTAGTTCCGATGTAGAAGGACTCTACTGAAAGCCTCTACCGTTTGTTAGGCTCAGTGTCAATCAAGCACACGCTCTCAGAGTAGAGAGGATTTGGTGGAGGACCTCGTTGTGGTCCGGCGAGTACTCTGCGCTTAAGATCAAACATGCGTACTTGTTTCTGTGTTGACGAACGCTCTCCGATATATGTTTTGTGTCCACATTGCACATGGTGAGGTACTTTGCGCATGTGTTCTTCGTAGATAGCACCTTGTATGTTTACAACAAAATGTGTAAATAGGCTTGGTTTAATGACAAGAAAGACACATACCTAACCCTTAAGCGTTGCTCTAGACCGACATACAGGTGAAAGATATATGACATTGACGCCAGAATGTCACCTGACCCGCTGACGTCAGGTAACACCCAGATGTCACGAGAAACAATACACTCCGCGGCACCGTGACGTTGCGTAGCTAAATTTACGTCAATTTCGCATGTTATGCGAAGTCGGTGTCCAATGACATCAAGACGCCATGACGTCTTGTGTTGCCGCACACACTCACACATCAAGTTCCCAGGTTTTTCGCAACACATTCAGGGATTCAGGGGTACCTCCAAATTTATCCGATATGATCATGGTATCCTTACTTTTTTTCCGTACCAGGCGATTTTTCAGTTTAGTGTTTCCTGCTGTTTGCGTGAACTGCCTACTTCATATTATTTTTATTTTATGTATGCCTTCTGTTTAGGTGAATTGCCTTCATAATGTCATCATTATAATCTGTGGTATAATCATTCTTAAGTACTGTCGCTTAAAAAAAAAGATTTCTGAGTTAACGTTTTTGCAAAACACAAGGCAAAAACTCACAGCACATGATACCAGTATCTGAAAAAAATGGCGGCTCTCAGAAGACGATTAGAGCGAAACAGGCGATGGGAATCGGGGAGCATAACGTTTTAGTTGTTCATTCTCCATCAGCACATCACTGTTTCTTAAGACATAATAGTATTATGAGCTTCGCCTTTCGCTGGAATCTTTCCACTTTTTTCTGTGATTGGCTGTCTTTGTGTACTGCAGGAAAAGAAGTTTGCAGACCGTTTTAGGGAGTGCATCACAGAGTCACCGAAGAAACCTATCTTAGCTATCCGATTTCATCAAGAACGCTTGCACCGCAAGGAAGTTTTCTATTACTGTGGTGCCGCCTATTTTTCGCGGCGAGGTTTTGTGTAATCTGAGAAAATGTCCAATAGCCCGATAGCTTCCAAGTAATACTTTTTTTTTTTTTTTCCTAGATGAAGAAGATGACACTGGCTTACGAAATAGGCAATATAGTCGGTATGTAGCTTTGATTTCGGATAAGTGGCCTCCTCTCGAGAAGAAAGCTGGAAAAGATTGAGCAACTAAAATAAATAATGTGTTGTCTGCTGAACGAAGGACTGGGTATATCTGGTTAAGAACAAACGGAGGTGTTCTAGCCATATAACGTAACGAAATACAGCTAGTGACACAACAACGGAACTCGACATTGCACATTTCCCAAGTGCCTCCCGGGGCTGAGTATTGCGCATCGCTTCAAGGATATCAGATTGCCACAAAAATTTGTATATTCAATTTAATTTTTTTTTATTTCAATATTTATTTTCAGATCAAGTCATATAAAATAAAGGGCTGGCCCACAAAAGCAGCATTCTGCTTTGTGTGCGGGGGCAGGCGACCACCTGATATACATTTTAGACATAAAATATTTCATATCAACACAGATAGTTTTGAGTTGATTATCTGTGAATCCTCATCGAACTGCTAATGATCGATTGTATGGAGACGCAGCCAATTCATGGCAAGATCATAAATTCAGAATAAGTGACGTTCTTCCAACTTGGGATTCATAATGCCGGTTATCACACAAACTCGTATTGTATCTCTGTTTATTTTTTTTTTTTATTTTTTTTTTGTTCACAAGTTTTGATGCCGTCTGGTTTTGAACTGTAAAATACGAGAAACTTCTTCAATCCTGAACACATCGGAGTAAGCATCTTTCGTCCCGAGTTTGCGCTGGACTATTAGTATGAAATCAGGCTTTTTCTTTTCTTGCTTACCAAGGGCTAGATGGGTGTTTCTAAGAAGTTCGCAATGGCAGTAAAATCGGTTTGATTCACTGTGCTTTCAACATTTAAGTAATAGGCTGGAGCTTGCTTGATCGTTTTTGATTGGCTGATCAAACGAGATATTGATATCCCACTTGTGATGACGTCGACCTAACTAGG